GGCTGTCTCTAAAATATCAAATACTTGTGCTGGGCTAAGTGATTTAACGTTTTCTTCCCCGGGATAAAAGTGAAAGAAAATTCGTTTCACAAGGAGTCTATAACAAGCTGAATTAAAGTATTGAGCTGAGAATATAAATGGCAGCTCTCACTGATTACGATGCTGGCGAAACGTGTGGGAATGTACCAAGTCAGTAGTCCGGTGCTGCAAATCACTAATACTATGGCAGAGAACACAGGAATAGGTACATTCCACAAGGTCTTCCTGACGCTCCGACCAAGTTGCGAAAATGAGGGAGAACCAACACTACAAAGCTGAAAGAGACTGCGGCCAAATAGAAGAACACACCATCTTCGTCTTCATATCTACGATCTGAGAATATAGAGTAAAGTATTGAAGGCTGAGCGGAATAGCAGAGTCCAAACACCGCGAGTTAAAACGGAAAATGAGATACACGCGGCGTCACGTGTATAGTATGTCTGCTGCTTGAAATACCTTTGCGTAGTTTTGCTTACCACCTGGTTGGTTCAAAAAGTAGGCATGGTGCAGTGCCAAGCTTAGATTCGTGAACATGACATAACGAGTAAAGATTAGTCATAATCTCACGTGGTCTTTGTGCCAAAAGGTGTTGAGCCATTTCTATGTGCCTAATGTGGCAAAACCAATACTATACTGGGAAAGTGCAGGGATAGGTCACTACATAAGTATCAAAGGGCAATCTCATGCGAGCCTGACTCCGTTGGATATTAATGTTTTTTTTACATTTTATGTGTCAAAATTTCTGCAATTAATAATATTGAAGTCTCCTTGTTCATTTTACCCTGTATATTTGGCAAGTTACCAAGACTAAGCATACCCCACAGCTATGCAATACTTGGAAATCTGAATTAATGACTCGTCGAATTTCGAACAGAATCGTCTGCCCACAAATATGCCTTATTCTCCCTGTTTAGTTTTTCTGCATCCCTTAGCTTTGGATTATTTTTTATTCACCAATCTATTTTTTTACAAATAGAAAGGATTGGTAAATTAGTGTCACTGTAAACTGGGGCAGGATTGCCTTGAATTCGTTAATGTTTAGTAATGTGGGGCAATCTTTAGCAAATCGTTCCGATACTCACCCTTTAGCTTTTCCTTTTTGAAGTTTTCTGCTAGTTCCCTGTCTTGATTTTATCTCAAATTCTTAAGCTTTTATCATGTTTATTCTTCCAATAATGGAATACCCGAGCCATTTTTGTTTATAAATAGGCTTTCGAGACTACCATGGATCATATATATGAGATGTATTCGCGATAT